ATGGGGCTAACCCATTTCACTTCCATGTTCATGTCAAAGGCATTTGATTCTTTGTTTTCATACACTACAGTTGCCTTCATCCACACCTTGATTTAAGGAGCAAATGATGTTCGACAGTTTGGGGGGACAGCCCCGTTCTGAAGGCCTTCGTGAGATTTATGAAGGCTAGGTACAGTGGTATGTGTTTTTCTTTATATTTCTGCAGTTGCTTGAGTGAAAATATAATTATCAATGGTGGAGAGCAAAAACTGTAGTGATTTCCAGGATTGATTCTTTTAACCTAGAGATCGCAGCCTAGGGATCATGATTTGAGTGACAATTTTTCCGATGATGTTCAACAAGGAGATATCTCTATAGTTGTCACAGTCACTTCTATCCCCTTTGTTATTGTACAAATTGTCAGTTGACACCAACGTATCAAATAATACCAAAAATCAGTGTTTTTTCAGACTGGTGTACAGGGTGCTTTGCCCAGGCATATGTGTCTAATTTTAATAATGTTGGTGGAGCTGCTGAGTGCTGATTGCCAGTGCATAAGAATGCTGTTACTCACTGCACCTTGACTATTGTTGAACATGCCGAGTTGCTGGGTGTTGGGGATCAAGTAGCACTGTTTTGCAGGTAAAAGGGTGCATGGCTAAGAAGGTTTGAAAACTATTATCATAATATAAAACTCATTACACTCATGCCACCTACTTTTCAATAAAGGGTAGCTTCTCCTAGCAAATCTCCTTTCAGACTGAAAACTCAGATATTCAAATACACGCTTGGCTGTTTTTCATCTGTCAGAAGAAAGTCATCACTCCTATGCCTACACAGATAGGGACCCTCATTTTCTGAAGCCACAGGAAGTGCCTTAGATTCTTACATCTCCTTGTTTACTGCTAATGAATGGATCCAATTCTTGGCATTCCTTTTAAAGGACAGTGTTCACATTTGAATACGGACTTTTCCTGTCTGAAAGACAATCACATTGTAGTTACCTTAATATGCATCCTGAAAATAGTCTACCAACTTCTTTAAGCACTACATGCCAAAGAAATTCTCTTAAGAGGGATTAACAAGCCTTCACTTCTTATACACTGCAGTCTACCCTGAGACTCAGCCTGCACTTGTTACCACTTCCTTACCACCATCACTACAACAACTAGCCTTGGGAACCAAAGATGACGACAGAGACAAGAGTACTGGATTAACTGCACCGAATACACAAAATGTAAATTTTCATCGTATTTATAAAAGGCAAGAGTTAGATACTTAAAAACTTGCTTTAACATTACAGTTTTTACTTGAATTTTAGGTTGTCTCAAACAGGTTACAAAACTTTGCCCTGTGTTGAAATTCCACAGCTACAGTTTCTATTTAAAAGCTTTACTTGAAATCTAAGTCTTAAAAAGATACTGTATTTTTTAAGTATACTTATTATACATAAGACAAAAACTAATTTATACTCTGAAAGTACTCTCTTCTCCTGAGGAATGCATATATACACACATACATGTACATAAGCTGTTCATCTGGGTCACCTGTACCTTGAAGTACTTTCTTATCTTTTTACTCCAAAGAAATAAAAAGGCAGTAGAAAATACTGAAAACTCCAACCAGAACTGATACGCAGAGACCATCATCTTTTGATGCTATATAAGAAGGGTCCTAAACAAAAGATGGGGTCCTATTCCATGACAAGGCTTCCTAGGCATTGTGGCAACAACATTTTTTTCCAGGACATGCTATGTGATAGCAACTTATATCAGTATGAGGGACAAAGTTCAGGTATCCATTAAGTTAGTACTTCTGTTAATCCCATCAGGTAACTTGCCAGCTTCCGTCTTCCCCCGCCCCACACACATTCTCCTTTAATACCAGGTTTAACATATACTGCTTTGTCTTCTAAAACATTGCATTCTGTCCATCCATTACATAAACAAACATGAAAAAACTCGTGTAAAAATAAGCCAAGATATAGCATCAACTACTACAAAAAAAAAGTTTCACAGGTTGTTCTATAAATGGTCCAAAGCATGCCACATTAAATCTTTTGTAGGCAGAATTTTCTCAAATGCAACCTCAATGCTGCCAAGGCCCAAAGCCATATTTGACTTCATACCTCTGAGGTAAGTGAAACTCAGTGGACAACTCAGGAGTCTAGTCACTCATGTAAGCACTGGTAGCTCAATTGCCAAATAAAATTAAAAATATTTACACATCATGAAGGAGACTCCAGATACACTGGTGAATGAAAGAACAAGATCTCATTTACATGATACAATATTCTAAGTTCACCAAGAATGGTAAATATTTCCCATTATACAGCTAGCTTAATTTAAAAGACATACAGGTCAATTATCCAGATGTCAAAGAGACAGTAAGCTTTAATTAGTCAATAATTCTCATTCAACAAAAACTGACTTCCAGACAAGCTTTATATTTGTGTGACCAAGTCTCATAATAAGAAGTTTGGATATAATTTACCTATACTAACAAGTCCAAGTTCAGTGGTAACTGATAATCTTACAGGTAATTAATTGTGCTTACAACTTAACAAGGAACACTGTCTATAATATTTACACCATACACAGCTGTTGAAGAACAGTTTTAGGTATATCAACAAAACTATGGCCACACAGCATGCGTGAGTGTTTTACTCATCATTTATAAACTAACCAATATTGCACAGTAAAGTAGTTAGATCAAAATGCCAAACAAGTGATTCAACATGAGACCATGAAGCTTACATTCCTCCAATTTAAGATGACCTGTACCAACATGATGCATATCATTTTACCAATTATTTTGAAACAATTTTCCTGTGTGATAATTAAACAATTTAGAGGCCATGCCAATAGGTGCCACAGCACTTACTCACTTGACCCAAGTCAGTGTAAACACATACAAGTGTCTTCTGCCCCATTCACATTACAAACTTGGGTGGAGGCAGTGTAAAATGCCTTTAGCTTTGTAGCAAAGTAAAACACTCCTGTTCCCATACAGGTCAACCACCAAGAGATGTGATACTTCTGCCCTGCTTCCTTTGCTCTGTGGTGTGTGTGTGTGTGTGTGGGGGGGTAACGTACCCCTCATGGCTGGTCCCATTCCCTCACCTTCAGAAGGCCCAGGTAGCCTCCCCTCCTACTGTGTGAAGTGCTGGGCTCCTACTTTCCTGTGGGAGTCAGGACCGTCTCCTGCAAGCTCCCTGTTCCTGGAGACAGGCTGCTTGTGCAGTACTGTAGCCCGCACCCTGCTTCCCCACGCCCGAAACTCTCTTCCAAGGCTGACGCGGGTGGGAGCCCGCGAGGCCTCCGGCACCTTCCCGCACCTCTCAAACGGGCGCCCGCGGAAAGTTTCGGCCTCCCCCGCGTTGCCCCGATCCAACACACCGCGCCCTGCTGCCGCCCCCGCCCCCAGGAAGGGGGGTGGGGCGGGAAGAAACAGGCAATGACCTCCTCCCCCCTGCTCCTCAGGGCAGGAATAAGGGGAAGTGGGAGAACTGGGGGCGCCATTTTGAGGCCGCCTCTCCCCTACCCCCGCCCCAGAATTCGTTGCCCGGGCCCGCGACTGGAAGGGGAGCGCCCCCCAGCCCGCCACCTGCTCACCTGACGGAGCCAGGCAGCAGCACAGCGCTGAGGTGTCCGAGGTGCGCGGCGGCGGCGGCGGCGGCGGCGTCTGTGTGGCGCGGGACAGGCGGCGGCTCCTCCTCGGGGCGGG